AGGAGTTTTTAAAGAGACAGAGTCCCAATTTCAAGGCGTTAAATTACAAAGTCAAATTTCTTTTAAGCCATATTTGATACAGTATTTTTATGACACATGCAGTAACAGAGGTAACAGAGTTATTTGATCTAGCTATGAAATGGCACTAGGTGTCTAGAAAATACATATTGCTGCCCCTTTAAAGCATTCACAGAGATTCTTATTAAAATCCACGGTTGTTTGGTTGGGTTATATTTAATCCTGTGTTAGTTCAGTTCTTCTTAGTGTTTCTTGTTATGTTTATTTTGTATTGTTATACAAAGTCACTTTATTAGTCTAGTTATTCTTTAGTGTCAGATTTAATTTCTGTTCCCTTAGTATTCTCCCTCGCCCCCTGTGCCACTTGTCTCTCTCCCTCCACTCTTTTATATATATATATATATATATATATATATATATAAGCACAAGGGGTATGAATATTTTTGCAAAGCCCTGTATTTCTGCTCTTGTGTTGCCTCAAACTCCAGCAGACACGGCGGTCCCGCTCTCACAGGATGAAGCCACAGAGGCCACCATGTCTTCAGAGGCCCTGCCTCTGATCTTTGAGCCATTCGAAGACACCACAGAGGAGGGACCAGCCGGAGCAGCAGCGGAGGCGGCGGTGGTCTCCCAGGCACTAGTCGGGTCTCCTGGTGCCATGGCAACCAGTCTGCCGCCCACGTCAGAAGCGGACCCGGACCAGCTGGTGAACTCTGACAGCGACGGCCCCTCCAGAGAGCCACCGGCTCTTCTATCCGAATGGACTTCACCTTGGCAGGCGTCTGGCTCGGAGCTGCTGGAGCCGGTGGGCGCCGGTACCACTGCCTCACAGCGGCAGGTCCAGACTGAGCAGGAGGAAGATCATCCAGGGACAGGTGAGGAAGGATAAATTAATCTGAAGGTCAACAAAACCAAGAACTTCATGTATTAAACACCAGAACGGCATTTCACTGAAAGGATGTAATGCTTGTAGTATCTGTCGACCAGGGGCGTATCTACAGGGAGGCCATGGGGGGCAAAGCCTTGCCACCTCGCGCCCTCCACCACCAACCAACAACTTTTATGATCTTAAAAATTACACTTAAAAATCTAAACTCTTCTTTTTTTTGTCCAGAAGCCTCCTGTAGCCTTCAAATTAAAGATTTATTCTGCAAAAATACGTATTTATAGGTGTAATTATGATTCCAAATTCAATGAATGAATCTGCCAAGTCAAACAAACAGATGTGGGTAAAATTATACCAATGAAAAGTAACAGTACTTTGACATATTTTTACTTAAATAAATGTAAAAAACAGCCGTCCAAGAAATTACTTGAATTTACTTGAGTCAAAAAGTAAATGTTAGAAAGAGTAATGAGTACTTGTTCAATCACAAAACCTAAATTAATATCTAGAAATGATGTCATTAGACTGACAAAAGTAGAAAGACGTGTTCAAATTCTGATATTTTAGGCTAAAATTTGAAAAAATAATTCAAACGATCATGAAATAACTAAAGGAAAAGAGCATTTATGCCTAAAACTTCCAAGTGACAGTGGTACAATAAATTGTTTTTCTTGTGTTTTAGTAATTTTGTTGTCTCTGCTTACGGTACATGAGGGTTTTATTCACATAGTTCACTGAGGAGGATTCCCTTCGCTCCCCAGCCACCATGTAAACATTTCTAGATCCGGCACTGCTGCTGTTTATCAACTGCAAATTGTAATTCTTGTAAAATCTCCCTGGATATTCAGAAAAAGAGCAGCTAACATTAAACGCAAACATCAGGTAAAATCTTCTTGGCCTATTTTTGATACAGAAACCGTGAGGACCACAAACTCTGAAGCAGGAACATCCTTCCATAACACAATGACAACCATAGCGAGCCATCAGCTTCTGCACAAATCCAGAACGGGGATAGAGGAGATGGAGTCTGAGGGTAAGTCATCTTTACTTCTGTTTTTAATTTTTTTTTATTGACAAAATTGTTACGGTTGTTGCTTATTTTTCTTCAGAGCTGGATGAGGATGAAGATGAAGACGACGAGAACTCTGAGGAATCGGTGGAAGAAGACAGTGAAGAAGACCTAACAGAAGCGCCAGAAACGTCCTCCACGCAGCCACCGTACAGCCTGATCCCTCCGCCGCCGGTCTGGGTCCAGCGCAACCAAGGGCTTAGTATGAGCGCACAATAACACCTTTTCAAAACTTAAAAAAAAAAAAAAAAAAAAAAAAAATACCCCAAGGATGTGTTTATCATGCAAGCATCGTCTTCGTTTTTTTATTCTAGTGCGCAGCTGGGCAGAGCTGATCAGAGAAAAGGTAAGACTGCCCCCTGCTGTCTTCATATGTCACCTGGTTTTTAGGTCTCCATGCACTGCATGTTCTCAAAATTAACTAATTACTTAATTCAGTATAGTTCAAAGTATAAAAATTAAAGATTAAATTGCATGAGAACATAATAATAATAATAATAATAATAAAACACCTACTGAGTGTTAATCTAAATCAGTGTTTCTCAAACTTTTTCAGGCCGAGGACCATTAACCCATTTAACAAACAGTAACGGACCAACTTGAAATTGCCCCTGCGATAACACATCTTAATATATAATTCAACCAGAAATAAAAATATTAGTCTGTTAACTCACGTATTATTGTCTTCTTTGTTCATCCTAATTAGAAGAGTGTTACTGTTTGGTAAATGTTACTGGCGACGACAAAGCCATGAACACCTCTACTTGGACATTTTGAATTATTTACAGATTCTGAAAGTGTGGAGTCTAAGCTTTCTAATGACATCAAACACATAGAAATAAAAAAGAAGTTGTTCTTTACTACCAAGTGCTATGTATATTAATAACATTTAGGACTATTTGTAACTTAGAAGCACAATTAAAGAAAAATAGACTTGAGTTGCTTTAGCAGAAACAAAAAAATCATTTTCTGCACCATTAAATACAAAATAAATAAAACATTTCTATCAATTGTATTTATTTGACTTAATATTTTTTAATTAAATAAAAACGATAGCTGTTGACTTGAAAGCAGAGCAAAATTCATTATCAAGCAAAGTAATAAAAAACAGAGTTCTGACTAACTGGAGCGATTCCGACCGCTAACCGTTCAAAGGAATCCAATCGCTAGTGAACGACACGTCAACTCTCAGTAGCTATGATTTAGCTTCCTCTGATCATATAATATTGATCAATTGTCTTCTTTCCATCGGAATCTGCAGCTTTTCTTTTGAGTAACCCGGTTTTAAGCCAGCTTTCCATCGTTATTTTTTAACACAATCCTTTGGTAAGCTAACTGTAGCGTTGCACATTGAGCTGACGTCACGGCAAATAAACGGTCGTTTACATGCAGTACCTCACGGACCAGGAAGGGGCGCCCGCGGACCACCAGTTTGAGAAAGACTAACCTAAACTGATGTTCAAGAATATAGGTAATCGGAGAATCAGCCATGAAATCCATACAAATCCAGGAACAGCCACAGAAATCCACAGCTCAGAGGGAAGTACTGGTTCACAAGAAAGGTGAACCAGTACACCTAATGAGACCAAAAATTAACACCAGTTTAATGGGTTTTATCAATACATTGTGGCACAACCGGCCCTTTAAGTACATTCAGATTTTTGATTTGGCCCAAAATGAAAGTTTGACACCCTCGTACTTGAAAAGTGAAGTTCACAAACTCTCCTTTCAATCTGACCGAACGTTATTTTACTCAGAAAACAGGGCAAGTATTTAAGTCTCTGTTCTTCTCCAGGCCGGGTACGTGTCCGGGATGTTGGCTCCCGTCGGCATCGGCATCACCGGGGCCCTGTTGATTGTCGGCGCCCTCTACAGCATCCGAATGCTCCACCGCAAGAGAAGGAACAGCTTCAAACACCAGAGGAGGAAGGCCAGGCAGCCGGAGGTTGGTATTCCAGTCGTTTCTTGTCTTTGACTGAAGGGTTCCTACTTTTCTAACACTTGTTAATGCCTTCCTGCCCAGCAACCCCGGGAGCCTGGCACCAGCTGTCAGGATCAGGCCATGCTGCTGGCTGACAGCTCCGAGGATGAATTCTGAGAGCATTCAGGCTTGTTTTTGTGAGCGATCATCAGCAGATGCTCTCCAGTAGGAGCAGCCTGGAAAATGTCTCTGTCAGTATTAACCCCATCAGTCTCGTCTGTTTGGGCACGGCTCATCTGATATACACAGAAGAAGAAGAAGAAGAAGAAGAAGAAGAAGAAGAAGAAGAGCACACACTGTTTGCAATGTAAACAGGGTGTGTGTGTGTGTGTGTGTGTGTGTGTGTGTGTGTGCGTGTGTGTGTGTGTGTGTGAAAGTTCCTCAAGTTATATACAGTCATTGTAGAAAGCAGGTGCACAAACTTTCAGTTCTTGGTATTTAAGTGTACAAAATCCCACACCAATTTTCCCCTCTGTCCCAGGTTTTTTAAGCAAAGATTAGGCTAAAATAGAGTCACATCACTCGTTCACTTGACCTATTACCAAACTGAAGTTAGTTAACGATTCAGGAAATAGCTAAAGGGCGATTCCACCTAATTATTCACTACCTTCTGCATCTTTAATCAACTCAAGTTAAAAACAAAAACTACAACATCTAGAC